TAACAAAAGATAAAATAGAGTGGGAATGGTCAGATAAACAACAAAACTCATTTAATGAAATAAAAAAATTATTAACGTGTTTACCAATTCTTGCACACTTTGATGATAACAAATTAATCGAAGTACAAACTGATGCATCAAAAGATGGCGTAGAAGCAGTTTTATTGCAAGAGGGTTCAGTTGTAGCTTATGCGTCTAAAAGTTTATCTGAAACACAGAAAAGGTACGCTCAAATAGAAAAAGAGTTGCTGGCAATAGTCTTTGCCTGTGAAAAATTCCATTATTTTATTTTTGGTAGGCCCATCTTAGTAAAGACGGATCATAAGCCTTTGGTGTCGATAATAAAAAAAGATTTAAACGAAGTTTCACCTAGACTACAAAGAATGCTTTTAAAAATTGTTATGTATAATATACAATTAGAATATTTGCCCGGTTCAAAAATGTTTATTGCGGATGCGCTCAGTAGAGATTATCTTCATAATGATATTGGTAATAAAAATGTTATCGAGGACGTGTATCATAATATACACGACATAAAAACTGTTTGTCCGATAAGTACTGAAACTTTAAATAGATTAACAGAGGCAATAGATGGTGATCATGAGTATAGAATGATTGTAGAATGTGTAAATAATAATTGGCCCAACAGTAATAGCATACAGGGAGAGATGTCTAGTTTCTACAAAATAAGACAAAATTTGACAGTTGTTAATCGTGTGTTATTCTTTAATAATAAAATAGTCATTCCACGAGCTATGAGGGCATATGTTTTAAATGTTTTACATGAAGGTCATTTTGGTATTAATAAATGTAAATCTAGAGCAAGGGAGTTAATCTACTGGCCTAAAATCAATAATGATATTGAAAAAATTGTAAATAATTGTGAATTATGTGATACATTTAAAAGTAACAATAGTAAATTACCGATGTTAAGTCATGATATTCCGTGTAGGCCATGGCAGAAAAGAGGCACAGACATTTTAGAGTATAAATCAAAGTCATATCTAGTAGTAACTGATTATTTTTCAAAGTGGTTTGAGCTTAGAAAAATTAAAGATAAGTCTGCTAAACAGGTAATAGAAACCTTTATAAACATTTTTTCTATTCATGGTTGCCCGGATGAGATTGTTTCGGACAACATTCCATTTAACAGTCAAGAATTTAAACACTTTTGCACTGAATGGAACATTAAATCAATTTATAGTAGTCCGCATTATCCTAAAAGCAATGGACAGGCAGAAAAGACTGTCAGTACATGTAAAAAAATCTTAAAAAAATCAGAGGAGAAAAAGAGCAATTTAGATATATTTCTGTTGAACTATAGAAACACACCAATAGAGGATTTGGGGCTATCACCGGCTCAATTGTTGATGTCTCGTAGATTAAAAGATAAGTTACCGGTAGTAAATAATTTATTAGAGCCGTTTAAGTTAAGTTTAAGTCAAATAAAAAATGATCTTTTGAGCAGAAAACAAAAACAAAAAAATTATCATGATAAAAATAGTAAAAATCTTAAAGAGTTACAAGTTGGGGATAATGTGTTATTTAAGACAGACTATAACATAAAAAAATGGGTGCGAGGGAAAGTAGTAGATTTAGCCAGTACTCCGAGGTCTTTTATTGTGGCGGGGGAAGATGGAGTGAGGTACCGTAGGACGAGAGAACACTTAATATTAAAACAGGGGGTAATATGGGGAAATGAAAACAAATTATCCTATAATAATAAGAGTATGGAAATAAAAAGTAATGATGAACCTCGGGAANATGGAAATAAAAAGTAATGATGAGCCTCGGGAGCACAAACTTCGTCCTCGTGAAAACCTATGTCGACCTAAACGGTATACATAATATTTTAAATTAATATATGTTTAATTTTATGTGTCATGAAATAGTATATGTTTACATGTTTAATTATTATATATCATA